TTACCATCCCGGACTTGAACGACGGAACCCGCTCGACGCAACCTGCTTGCCTGCAACCTGGCTGCATCGGACTCTGTCCACTCGCTTGCGGCTCATTCCACGAACAGCCAGCGTCTCTCTTTCGCCTCATGCCTACACTGGTAGTGGCCTCCTTGCTTGTCTGTTGCAGACACACTACTACAAGCAGCCAACAGGCAAACTCTCCCCCTTTCTTCTCATCCCCCATATTATAATACACACCCTCATATCATCTAAACACTGGCAACCCTCCATCTCAGCCGACTCTCCTTCAACTTCACTCGCATCTCGCATCAGGAACCAAGGGTCTCTTCTTGCCCATATTCGTACACTAATCAGATACATCGTCAACCCACATCTGGTGTGTACGACTCAGCCCGACAGCCTCCAACTACAGCCACAGTTACAACGACTCCAACTGGGCCCCTTACGACCCAGTAAACGCCTCGCAAGACGTTCCGCAGATCTGCAATCTGCCGTCCAGCTCGCGGAACAAGGCTCTTCGAGAAGGGCAGTCACCCTCTCCCACATCTAGTCTTTCTCTCTGTGCAACACGGAGGAGAGAACCCTTGGGGCCACCATACGAAGACCACAGAACGTCCCATGTGCGTAACACTGCCCACCAGGTCCATGCAGGCTGTTATAAGCCGTGCCGTCCCCGACGTCACCGTCCAACATGTCCAGCCCGTCTCGTCTTTACGCTCACAGAGGCTCTACGACGTTGAGTGTACAAACGGCACGAACCTCGCCATAGCCCTCCCCGCCATGCCCATGGCCAGACTGCTGCGTTCTGAGCAAGGATCCATTAGCTCCGAAGCTGCCGTTCTCAAGTGGCTAGCCGGGCTTCATGTCAAGAAGCCCCTTCTCCAAGAGAGGACGCCTGAGCCAGAAGAGACCCGTGTTGTTCTGTCTCGGGACGGTAAACATGTCCGAACTCCAAGCAATAATTCCTCAGACGACCACTCCACCAGTACGCGCCTGGCAACTTTCCTGCCGCAGCTCCTCCTACACTCGGCCGGCTCGAACGAACACAGGATCGAGTACAATGTCACAAGACCAACGCAAGGCAAGCCGATAGCAGACTTGAGCCCGCCCCTGAACCCATCAGAACGCAAGCTTGTCGATCTACAGACGGGACGCTTCTGCCGGAGGGTGTCGGAGCTCGTGTCGCCCACGGGACGCTTCGGTCCTGCCTTTGCCGTCCTGCCGACACTCACACCTTCGCACTCCGGAGCCTCGACGCCCTCGGCCAGGCGAGACGCCAACGCCCGCATGATCCAGTCCAAGGGCGTCGAGACGTGGGCTACAGGTTTCCACTCGATGCTCGAGGCTGTGTTGCGGGACGGAGAGGACATGGCTGTTATGCTCGCCTATGCCAACGTTCGACGACAGTACAGGCGGCTGGCTCACGTTCTCGAGGGGGTTACGTGCTCGAGGCTAGTTGCCGTTGATGCCGGAGACAACGTGAACACACTTGTGCTGCGCAAGGCAAGGCACGGAACTCCAGCCACAGACGATGACGACGATGACAGCGAAGACGAGGAAGACAGAAAGACGGAGACTGGATCTTCACAGGCTGGAGAGGACGACGAGCAGGCAGAAGAAGAAGACAAGACGGCGCTTGAGGCGCCACACGATATCACAATGACCGGTATGAAGGACTGGAGCCACTTCATCTTTGGCGACCCCCTATTCGCGACCATCTTCAGCCGAGACGCGACCGACGAGTTCCTCAGGGGCTTCAACGACGCGGCCGCCGGGCACAAAGCAGAAGGCGAAAGCAATGAACCGCCGAGCAAGTTCGATTCTGTCCTCATCGAGGACAAGGCCAACGCCCACATCAGGCTGCTGCTGTACGACTGTTACCACAACATCACCCAGGTGGTCAGGGAGTTCTACCGCCCGCGCAAAGATAGCAGCCGGCACGAGCTCGCGGCGAGGAAGAGGCTCAATGATACACTGACGAGACTTGAGGCGATTGGCGAACCAAAGCCCACGCTGCGGAGGAAACGCAGCGGTGAGATGAGCCCAGCGAAGAGGGCGAAGAGCGAGGGGCCGGAAGATGCGTGATGTGCAGTGCAGCCGAGCGATGACATGACGAGCCTTGACATTTTACCCCTATTCTGATGACCTGCCCCCAGCGAGAGATGAATGCTCGATCAAGAAAAAGGGGGCACGGATATTTTTTTTTTTAAATCAATGAAAGGACTTATAGAGGAAGCGATAGGATGAGACGCAGAGTAGTCTAGGTAGCATGACGAAAATTGTGATTAGATGACTCCTATTCTCACTTTTCTGCCTTCTTCGCACCGGCAGCATGACTAACATCATCATCGCCAAAGTCTTCGTCGCGCGGCAGCTGCATGCCCATCATGCCCAACATGTTGCCCGCAGGCCCGGCCATGCCGGCTTGCCCCTTGAAACTCTCCAGCAGGTTCTTGGCGAGGTTGTAGTCAATGTCCATCTCGCCATCCGTGCTCTCGTCCTCGTCGCTCCCGGGCGCCTCCGCCTCCTCGTCCTGCCGCGGCGGCCGTGGTCGTAGCCGTGTCGCCTCTTCTTTCCCCTTTCCCTTTAGCGCCGCCAGCTTCTTGTCGGGGGTGGGGTCCAGCTTGAGCGCCCCGTGTTCGTTCAGTTCCGCCTCGAACTGCGCTGCCAGGTCTCGGATGCCCTGGTCGTCTTGGTCGATTGTTGCCGTTTTTCGTGACGTGGTGGTGGTGGTGCTGCTGGGGACGCCTGCCGGCGGCCCCTCGGCTTCCGCCGTCGACGGGAGGCCCATCATCTCCCTCATCATGCGGGCAAACGCCTCCTCGTCAAAGCTCACCGCCTTGTCCTCGTCCTCGCTGTCGTCGTCCCACGAGCCCAGGCTGTCCGTGTCGTTGTCGCGGTCCATCTCGTCATCGTCGTCGTCTCCGGCGCCGTCGACGCCCGCAGCGTCGTCGTTGAGGAAAGACTCGAATCGCGACACGAGCTTCCGCAGGTCCGCTTGGGCGGTGGCGTCGCCAAAGCCCGACTTGGCGGCCCCGTCCTGCTTGCGGCCGTTGCTGTTGCTGCCGCCGCCGCTCTTCCCGTCGAGCTCACGCTCAAAGTCCTCGTAGTTGATGTCGAGCCAGGCGTCGTCGTCGTCGCGGCCCGCGTCGGTCCACGCCTTGATCTCGTCGTCCGTCGGCAGCGCCGCGTCGCCGTCCTCGCGCAGATCGTCGAGGAGGATGCCGACCTCGCGCGCGGCGCGCAGGTCCGTCCTGTCGAGGCGTTTGACCATCATGTCGAAGCCGCAGGCGAGCTTGGCGCCCGTGTCGAGGCGGCGCCGGGCCTGGTCGTCGGGGGCCTTTTGGACGAGGTCCGCCCACGGCTGCGGGAGGTCGAAGCGCTGGGAGCGGAGCTGGGCGAAGAGGACGCGCGTGAACGTTGCGCTGACGGTGACGAGGTCTTGCGGCGGGAAGTGGAGGTCGGCGGATGACGAGAGGAAGGGTTGCAGGGCGATGGGGTCACGTAGGTAGAAGGCCTCGACGGCGGGCGCCATGGCCTTGGGCGCTTCGTGGAGGACGAGGGCCAGCTTGCGCGGGATCGTGACGAGCGAGTGGTGGAGCGAATTGGCGATCTGCTCCGGGTACTTTTCGAGCCGGTAGAAGGCTTCGGCATCGATGAGGTCGGACTGGACGAGACTCTTTGGGCTCGATCGGATGAGGGCCAGGGCATCCGGTAGCGAGAGGATCTTGTTGCTTCCCTTGTCGTTCAGGGGGATGATGTGGAGTTTTCCCTGGTGCAGCCATGCGCGGTTGCGATCCATCTCGGGGTTGAGCCATGCTGGGAGTACATTGGCTGCTTCGATGAGGAGGAACTCCCCGTCGCTGTCAAATATGCGTATCCAGAGTTTTGGGTTGGCGAGACTCAGTTTCCTCAACAGGAAGACAATGAGCCACTCATCTTCCACAGAGTCGCCGTAATCTGTGATGCCGTGGACGTAGGCGAGTCCTGGAGGCGGCGTTAGCCATGGGGGACTGCAGGGACGGACAGACGCAATGCCTTACCCTGGTCACTTTTCACCTCAAGGCTGAATTCTCCTCGTTGCCATATGTAGTCGCTTGCCACGTCTTTGGCTGACGCCAGGGCATTTTTTCGAACGTCTTCAAGCTGTGAAAGCTCCTTGCGGCGGTCAGTCGAATTTTGGTCGACGAGGAACAGCAGGTATTCGACGCAATTCTCAGGTAGACGTTTGTCTAACCCGTCCAAAGGGTTCTGCTGATTTCCGGTGTCTGCCATCGGGGGGCCCTTGGCTCGCCGCCCTACACGACCTGGCACGCACTTTTCTTAGACTGTGTCTTCAGATCGAGACTTTGTGTGTTGGCCCGCTGAAGAATGCCTAGCTCCGTGTTTCCATAGCCTTGTGTCTGCAAGCTTGCCCCATGGATTGGGATCTTCGGCAGCGTCAACAGACTAAGACGGTGGAGGACAGAGTGCGGCAAGTCTTGCGCCCTGATTTGACCAACAGCTCCTGTCACCGTGGTTCATGGATGCATGATAGCGGGGGGTCGGCTGGTTCCCAAGGCGTTTTCTGCCTTGTACCGTCGTGATTCAGCTTCGGATGGCGGGGTGGTCAAAAACGCGCTAGCGCTTCTGTCGTTCGAGACCTGTACCTGGTACTAGCTGCTTCCTCTGCCAGGCAGCTTGTTGCCAGGTAGCGGATACACCAAGTGGCCCTTTGTCTGGCGGCGCGTCGACCCCACAAACCGATAGCACCTGTCGCGTTCCCTGTCGAGCTCACCCAGCATCTTTCGCGACTTTATACACTTTTGGGCCAGAGCCTCACATTCACCTGCCGGGATACCATAGCACCACCTATGTACGTTACCACTTATCAACACGACACCTCGACTCTACCGACACTTACTCTCTCTCTCTCTCTCTCTCTCTCTCTCTCTCTCTCTCCCTTACCCCGCCACGTCATACCATGCCTGCAACTGCATAGGCATACGACTCCGACCATGTCGTCTTTGAAGCGATCGCATCGCGCCATCAGCAACCTTGACTCGGCAAACGGCACCGGCGTGGAGCAGGCCAGCTCGAGCTTCAGCAACGATGCCGCCGTCAGTGGCTTGCCCGATCATGTGCCTCAGGGGTCGTCGCCTTGCTAACTTCTGTCTGCAGAGAAAACGCGTGCGCGTTTCGGTCGGTCGCCCCGTAAAGCCTACAGCGCCGCGCGAACCGAGTGCCGTGTCCGAGGAGTCCGAACAAAGCGCCGGCGAAGAGTCTCGCAACGGCCGCGACTCTCCTCCCCGAACCCAATATGAGATTATGCGAGACGGCGGCTTTCGCCATCTCGAGAACGAAGAGCTAGACGACCAACGTGCGACACAAGCCATCAACGCTCGCTCGCATCGGGTCGGTGACAACCGCGCAGCCGAGAATGGAATCATCGAAAACGTCGAGTGCATCAACTTCATGTGCCATGAACGCCTCTACGTCGAGCTCGGCCCCCTCATCAACTTTATCGTCGGCGAGAACGGCAGCGGCAAGAGCGCTGTCCTGACCGCCCTCACGCTCTGCCTAGGCGCCAAGGCGAGCTCCACAAACCGCGGAGGCAGCCTCAAGAGCTTCATCAAGGAGGGCCGCGACCAGGCCGTCATCACCGTCTGCATCAAGAACCAGGGACAGGATGCGTACCAGCCCGACTTGTACGGCGAGACGATCAGGGTGGAGCGCCACTTCTCGAGGTCCGGCACGAGCGGCTTCCGCCTGAAGAGCGAGCGCGGCAAGACCATCTCCACAAAGAAGGCCGAAATCGACGAAATCACAGAATACTGGGGCCTGCAGGTCGACAATCCGCTGAACGTCCTATCCCAGGACAATGCGCGTCAGTTCCTCAACTCGGCCACGCCCGCCGTCAAGTACAAGTATTTCTTCAAGGGCGTCCAGCTGGAGCAGCTCGACCACAACTACAAACTTATATCGGAAATGCTGGACAGCCATGAGGAGAAGCTGGTCAAGCTCAAGGATGATGCCGCCCAACTGGAAGTCAAATACCAGAGGGCCAAGAAGGACAAGCAGGCCGTCGAGGCGAATCTTGGCTTGCGCGCAGAGGGCCAGCGAATCCGCACGCAGCTGGCCTGGTGTCAGGTTGTGGATGCTGAGCGTGGTCTTGCGCAACAACAAGCGCAGCTGGAGTCCCTCACCTCGAAACTCGTCGAGGATGCGCGGAACATTGACAAGGCCACGGGGCAACTCACGACGTGCGATGAAAAGATTGAGCAGCTCGAAGCTGCTGTGGCGGAAAAGTCAAGGGAGAAGGAGTCGGAAGAGGAGGGGGTGGAAGCGGCCTTGGCTGCGTACCAGGAGGCGAAAGCGAAACTGGAAGATCACCGTCGCGAAGAACGCGAAGCCCACGCTCAAATCAAGAACGCCAGGGCAAGCGTTGCCAGTTGGAAGGAAAAAATTGCAGCTGAAGAGCAACGGCTCGGCGAAGAGTCTGGAAGTGCTCGCCAGAAATTGCAGGAACAGCTCGACGAGGCAAACGCCGAGGAGGCTCGCTTGCAACGCCAGATTCTCGAGGGCAGCGCGCAGTTGCCCATTCTGGTCAAGGAGAGCGACGCTGCCGCTGAACACGTCACGCAATGCGAGAAACGCCTGAATGCCAAGGGGAAAGAGGTCCAGGATGCGAGAGGACGCATCCAGAACCTGCAAAGCAACAACCGATCGCCCTATGCGGCTTTCGATCCCAAGATCCCTCAGCTTCTCAAGGCCATTGAGCGAGACGATGGGTTCGAGAGACGGCCCGTAGGTCCCGTTGGACTCCATATGCAACTGCTCAAACCTGTCTGGTCATCGATTCTCGAGACAACGTTCGGCCAGTTTCTCAACAGCTTCCTGGTCGTGAACAAGCAGGACCAGCGACGTCTCGTCGAACTCATGCGTCAGATCGGCATCCGGAACGTTCCAGTCACGATCGGAAAGCCCCTACCTCCGGGCACTAAGCTGAAGGAACCGGATGAGCAGTTCTTGACGATTCTTCGTGCTCTCAAGATCGAGAATGACTGGGTGCGCGATCAGCTCATCGTCAACTACATGATCGAAAAGATCATCCTCGTTGAGAGGAGAGAGGATGCCGAGGACATCATGTACGGCAGCGAGGGTCCGCCGCGCGATGTGTCTGTCAGTCTCAGTCTCCACGACCGCAAGCGGAATCAAGGTATCCGTATTCAAGTCAGGCCATCGGGCATTTCGACGAGTACTGTCAGCGAGTTCAAGAGGGCCCCGCGCATGAAGTCAGATGTCGAGACCCAGATTGGCCTGCACGAAGAAACGCTGCGACTCCTCGACGGCGAGTTTCAGGAGCTGCGCAAGGAAAAAGCGACACTTGAGACGGCTCGAAGGCGCTGTCACGAGCAGGTGACGCGGTTGAGGCAAACCAACGACAAGCTCGAGGCCGCCATCACCAAAATTGCCGCCAAGATTACGAACCTCAACGAAGAGAATGACCAGTACGAAGGTGCCGATGGACGACTAGCCCAATACCAGGAAGAACTCAAGCTGGCCGAACTCGACAAGGAGCATCACGGCACCCAGTACGGAGAACTGCACGTCAAACGAGACTCGCTCAACAAGGAAGTCGAGGAGCAGAAGAGGAAGCTCAACCACGAAAAGGAGAAGATCAAGGATCTGGAGGCACAGCTCAACAAGGTCGACAGAAAGCTGCAGCAGGCCCGGGATCTCCGCCAGATGGCCGTTGTGGCCAAGAACACGGCCTACGACACGCAGGCAGAGACCGAGACTCTCAAGCACCGCGCCGAGCAAGAATGCGCCTACCAGGCCCAAGCTGTGGCCGAGTGCACCGAGGGCGCCTCGGCCCAGTCCCCGAACCGCGTTGCAATCGACGAGGGCGAGAACTACGCAAGCTTGGAGAAGAAGTACAACGCGATTTGCAAACAGCTCAAGCAGCGAGCGGAACGCATCGGCGCCACGGACGAGCAGATCAACGATCGGCTGCGCGAGGCCAAAGCCGCTTTCCTGGCGGCGTCCCAGGAGTTTGAGTCGCAGCAAAGCTTCCAGCAGGACGCGAAGCGCTCGCTGGCCGATCGACTCGTCAGGTGGCGCCACTTTCAGCAGCACATCTCGGCGCACTCGAGGATCAACTTCCGATACCTCCTCAGCGAGCGCGGGTTCAGGGGAAACATCCTCTTCGACCACAAGCAGCGAAAGCTGCAGCTGTCTGTGGAACCCGACGAGACGCGCAAGAACGCGGGCGGCCGGAGCACAAAAACATTGTCTGGAGGCGAAAAGTCCTTCTCGTCCATCTGTATGCTGCTGGCCATTTGGGAGGCCATGGGATCGCCGCTGCGATGTCTCGACGAATTCGACGTTTTCATGGACAACGTCAACCGAACGATTAGCACCAAGATGCTGGTAAGAATGAACAATATCCGCCCCAGTGCGCGCCTGTTTTGCTGACTTGCCCCCCCTCCCTTCAGATTGATGCGGCTCGACGCTCGGTCAGCCGTCAGTACATTATGATCACCCCCAACGCCATCGAGGGACGGGCTTCGTTGGGCAAGGACGTCAATATTATCCGGTAAGCACAGCTGAAACCCCTCATTGTACTGTTTTGTCACCGACTAACATGCCACGTCCCAAGTTTGACCGATCCGCGCCAACGAACGCTCCCGCAGATGACGTGATGGGAACAGAAACGAGGAGCATATGCGAAGGGATTTGGACGGCAGTGAAAGAGCAAGGCGTTTTCGGTCGGTATTCACCGTTCGCTTTTCCCAGCGACGGATCCATCCCGGGACAACATCAGGCGTCATATTATTTCTTTTGCTTTTGGGATCAGACGGCTGCTTTGCCAAGCCGCATTCTAGAAAAAGGCCGTGGGGCCTCGTGTACTTTACATAGGGAGGGTTTACATGATGTACATGGGATGCCGCCATCGCAGAGATGGGGAGAGGCTCTCTACGATTAGAATAGAGAGCAACGAGCAGCAACCTCCGGGATTGGGAGGACGAGCAATGCGACCAAGAAGAGACCAGTCTGCCATGACTTGGGCGAAGCACCCCCAAAAAAAATCTTCAGCAGCGAGTCCTTAGATGCGCATGCCCTTGCTCCTGAGCACATTGACGCCCGCGGACGCAGTGAAGCCGACCCACTGGCCCACGGCGCCAAGCACAGAGCCGGCGTCCTTGACCTCACCGAGCCTGCTCTGCAGGAACTCGCGCGTGTCGGCGAAGCCGGCCGATCTGTCGTTCGTCATGAAGAGCTCGCTCGAGGCGTAGATGGTGGCCAGCGAGCCCCGCTTCGTGTACCACGTAGGGTCGACCGCCGTGTCCCCGGACAGGTACCAGATGTCGTCGGCCAAGCGGGCGAGCTCCTTCAGGGAGGCCGGCACGTAGGATGGTTGCGCCATGACGGCGAGGGCCTAGATTGGGGGGAGGTCTGCGTGTCAGCGAAAGAAAGCCCCTTTCGGCGCCCGACGACGTCTGTGCCGAGCTGGAGGAGAAGGAGCGAGAGCGCGCGCGCGCGCCGTACCTCTTGCCAGCGGTGGATCACGGTGGTGTTGCCCAGCAGGCGTTCCCAGGCCAAGCGCTCGACCTTGTCGGCGACGCTCGCCGTGCTGCCGCTGCTCTCGTCGCCCCAGAGGGTTTGGCTCGTGCGGGCGAGGTCCTCCCGCCGCGTCACGAGGTGGTAGCGGATCAAGCTGAAGGCGCCATCGGGGAGGATGCTGGTGCTGATGTCGGGGTAGCCTGCGTCCTTGGCGCCGAGGGCCAGCGCTTGGTGGGAGAAGCCGTGGTCGGGGACATGTTCGTATGCGGCGGAGAGGAGGGCGTGTTCTGAGTTGGTGAAGGCTTGGCTCGGCGCCGGATGGTCGAAGGAGTGGTAGGGGCGGCAGAAGGCGGCGATGGTGGGCCTGTGAAGGACGGCACGGGGGCGCAGGACGCGGGCCGCCATTGCGAATCCGGGCAGAATGGGCGACGGAAGTCGACGTGCAAGGAAGGCGAGAGCCGCGAAGTGTCAGACGTCGTATGCAGCTTTGCTCTGCAAGCCTGTTCGGGGTCTCAGAGACGGAAAAGTGGTGCTGGTCGTCGAGTTGAAGTTTCCATGACCAAACCACTCGCGTGGTTCGCACGGATGAACCCGCGCGCCGACGTGGAAAGGGTCCAGGCCGTCCCGGTCTCCGCGCGCACGGACCACCTGAGATGGACGTCTCTGGCCTGGTGGTGCCAGTATCTTGTAATCCAATGTAGGTATATTTAGGTACGAGGCAAGGGCAAACTGGGCCGGCGAAACTCGCGGGTTTGTTCTTTTGTCAATTGGATCACATCAGCTCAACCACGTCAGCCATTTCTGCGGCCCTGCCGTGCTCGCTCTGTAAGGGACCCTGTTGGAGGCTGGCGGCTCTTCGTGCCCGCTGCAGCCTGTGTCTCAATCCGAACCCGGTCAGTGGCCCGAGTACGAACGGCATTCTCCCACGAGCCGGCACAGGGCGTCCTCGAAGACGAGACCAAGTCGAGATACATGCCCGCCATGCATGAGGCGGTTACACAGCACGTCGTTGGCTGGCCTCCGCCGGCGCAGCCATTGCCCGGTGTGCGCCGGCATGAAGCTGGATGCGAAAGATGAATCATGCATGGTGTTGAACCCCGCACGATTTCTCTCGACCTGTCAAGGAGGTGCAACTTCTGCTGCCATCCCATTTCCATGTCTGTCCTCCGGGGGGACTGACTGCCCAGTCAGTCCGAAGGTGTCAAACTACCTCTAGGTGCAGGTCAATGTCTGCACTTGGGACGGGGGCTGCAGGTTGTGTCAGGTCACTCTTGGACCCCCCTCTTCACCATTTTGTCACCTCATTCCGTCTCGCTTCTTCCCTCTTCCTCTCCAACCCCTCCAGTGCCCTTGTTCACATCCCTGGTAGATATGCCAAATACAGTGGCGCCGGCCCGCATGTGCAGTCGCGCCAGGCTGTCCAAGATGGGAGCCAGTCGGACCACGCCTTCAAGGTTGGACATCCCGGGGGGGGGACTGAAGCGTGGCTACCACCAGACATCGTCGTATATGCAGAGAGGGGGGGGAGGGGGCGATTGTACTAAGCGAAAACGATCGGATCGTCAGGTACATGTACTAGCGATACGGGTGCAGACATGGCCAGCGATCCCTCAGCAGAGCCGTTGAGTTCCCTCTCACTCCTTCACTGTCTGTCTCTCAGCTTGCGCACTTGCGTACTCACCCCCTGCTGCCCCATTGTTGAGCTTACTGTGGGGGGTCTTATCTAGGGGGGTCTCTTGCGCCATCCGGGTGTTTAGGCTACGCTGTCCTGCAATACCCGTGTCGGACCCGATATGATCATACCATTGGTCATTGACGTCGACATTGCCCGTGTAGTCTTTCCCTCAATACGTGCCGTCGTGTTAAGGAGGATTCGTCATGGTCGACACCTCGGGTAGGGCGGGGGGCCATACCATGTACACGAAGTCGCTGGTTCGTCCAGCTGGGGGGAAGGGAGGGGGAGAGGGCATGAAGAGGGGGTGCAAGAATTGCCAAGAGGAAGCGTTCAAAGAGACGTACGCACGTTCACTCTTCTCTCTCTCTCTCTCTCGGCTCCACGACTTGGTACCAGGTCTGTCTGCGCAGCGCGAGAAAGCATCGTTGACCAAAGGAACGCTACTCGTGCCTACCCGTCCCATCGTTCCTGCCTAAGGCAAGACAGGCCCAAGGTCAAGCACCGAAGGTCAGGCTGGCCCAGGGTCGTACCGCTTCATGTACATGCCGTCACAATGGAGACGGATGGAGGCAGTTCTAGCAACGCCATTGGCGGTGTGGCCTTATTCTTGCGCACACGTATCCACTTTCACCAGGCTGTGTGCACGCGCAGCACGACAGCCAGGAGGGACGACCAGAGAGGAGGGGGAAAGGCGACGTGATTGCTTTGCCTGGCCCTATCTGGTCTGGTCTCTTCTTGCAATCTGTTCTCCACACCTGCTTCTGCCGGTCAGCTGTACTATAGGTAGCTGCTGCACTGGGGGCTGCTTGAGGGAGCTCTCATGATCCCCTGTCTGGCCTGTGAGCGATCAACGGCAAAGCACACCTTGCCGTTGCTGCTGTCGTTGTGTCCATTCTCCATTCCCTGTCATTTTGAGCGATTCATAAAAACTTACTTCTCACCTCAGAAAGAAGCTCAGAAAGAGGCGGAGGCGCCTGGCATTGGGTCGGTACCTACGTACCTACGTACCCGTACCTGCCTACGTAAGAGCTAATCAGCCTGAGTACGTCTCTTGGAGAGCGAGCATTGGTGCCCAGGATCCAGGTGCTTTTCAGGCCTGTACAGGGAGGGAACGGAGACTTTGCGCACGAGCCACTGGCGCCCTATTGATTCGTCGCGCCAGAATCCCCAATCTGACTGATGCCCACACAACACGGCCTATCCTTGCCAGGCGCGTCAGTTTTATGCTACGGTACCTAGGTAGGTATTTACTTAGCCGACCCAGGCCTCCTTGATTGTCCCCGTCCCCCCCCCCCCTCAAAGTACCTTAGACAGGTAGCCTCGGCGCGCGCGTTCCTCCGTCCATCCCAGCCCTTTCCACCGGGCTCGCGCGACGTCCACCAACTCACCCTCCGACTCCACGTTGCCTCTCGTCCAACGTCACGGAAAAGCGCCCAGTCTTCAACCTCCCTACAGTCACGCGTAGTACCAGCAACTCTCTCCCGCACGCACACACGCACGGCGCGCGATACCCTTTCGCAACGACGACGGTCTCTACTGTCCAATCGATCCGGGGACCTCTGTAACCCGTCGAAAACTCTTTCCCCATCAACTCCCAAGCCAAACCTGCACCTGCACCCTGCAAACCTGGCAGCCCGGCTGAGGCTTTCGTCGATACCCTTCAACGCAGTTCGGCCTTTTCCTACTTGTCGTTCACGAGTAATACACCATGGGTACGCATGCTCTCTTTTTTTTTTTTTCCTTTCTGTCCAGTACCTACCCTGCCAGCTGCCACCTCGTCCTATCTGTTCGACTCCCCTTCCCCCTTCATTCAGCCTTGCCGATCCTGCACGCGGGTCTCGCCATCCCCTCGCCCCGTCAGCCATCCGCTGCTGGACCACCACCACCACCACCACTACCACCATCACACGCTGCCTACGACCTGCTGTCTCCTGGCCTGTCAAACCCACCCAGAGGGCCGCCCGCGCTTGTGGTCTGTCGTGACGGCGGCAGCATGGCCTGACTTCCTCCACCACACACTGCAACGGTAACGGCAGGATGCGCGGCTTGTCTGGCAACACGCTCTTCTGCGGTACAGGCGGTGCAGCAGCAGCGAGCGCCGTGCTTGGTGCCGCCGATGCCACTCGCGTGGTGTGTGGTGTGTGCTGCGTGGTGACGCGTTACCTCCTGTCGTGACTGGACACGGGAGTCGCACGCCCATGTCATCTCACACAGCTGCTGCTTTCCATTTCACCATTTACCATTCTTGTCCTGTCCGGCCGGGCCCAGCGCCCAATGCCAAACACGGCCGGCGGTAGCAGTTCTCACAGGCTTTGGGCTCTCATCACAGCTTACTCACGTACTCGCTTGCTTGGTCCTGCCCTGGATTCAGGCTTGAAGTCCTCTTCCCTTGTCGCACGCATGCCTGACCTCACATCTATCTCCTCCCCTCTCCCTCCGACTTCCCTTTCAGCAAAAATTCCA